TCTAATTAATTTTGTTTTATTTTTTAGGAAGAAAACTAATTGATATATAAAATTTTATAAAAAAATCTTCAAATTAATAATATTCAAAAATATAATTTAATAATATCTTTTTTTAAATCATAATTTATTTAAACTTTTAAGCAAAATAACTATTATATTATTGTTAATAAATTTTTACAAAATATTAATTATATATTGTATTATTTTGATAAATTAATTGTATTGGATATAAAATATTATTGATATTGTATAAATATGATAGTTTTGATAAAAGTAAATTAATTTCAGTTTTTTAGTAAGAAATTTGAATAAAAACCATAAAAACTAAGCAAAAAAAAAATTTTTTTTTAAAAAATATTATCTTTTAAGATAATTATTTAAGTTATATATAAGTTTAGAATAAATAATATAATATATTTTGTATAAATAGTATAAATAAATAATTTTAACATAAAAATTAACTTTTTATTTATTTTCTTTTTTCAAATCATTAATTAAAATCTTTACAAATATTAAATTTCTTTGTATGAACTATTGTTGAAACCCAGAACATATCTTACAAATTAAAGTTTTTTTAGAAAAAAGAAACTTTCTAAAAAAATTTTTTTCTTAAAAGAAGTTGGATATGAAAAGAGTTTTTTTTATATACTGTAGTTTTAATTTTTAAATCTTTAAATAATAAATACTATATATACTGTATAAGTGTGTGTGTGTTATTAATTGGTTATTGAACATAAGCCAAAATAAAAGTTCAAAGACTTTTGTAGCAGACTGTATATATTTGTTATTTTTATGATATTAATAAATATATTACTTGATAAAACTTAAAAAACTTATTAAATTCATATCTATTTTTTGTTTCCTTGATTTTTTATAATCTATTCAATTATTCTATTCAGTAACTTTATTGTAAAGTCTTATTTACAGTTATGAATCTTCTTCTATTATATATCTAAATCTTTTGTTTTTTTTTTACTTTTTTTAAATATTGTTTTTTAACTAGAATAGTAGAATAGTAAAATAGTAGAAATAATGAGGATAGTTTTTTGCATTTGAACATATATATAAGAATTTTCAAATTATCAAATGATGTCAAGCTTCTACAACAGGATGCATGGAAAGTTTTGAGTTAATGTTTATGATTGAGAATATAGGAATGATAGAGAAAGGCAGTATAGGATATACTCGGACCAAATTTATTCCATGTATCAAGCCTTAAGAAACTATAAGGCATATATCACCTCACATATAATGAAACGGAGATGGATCGAAGTTGATGATTATGAAAAAATTCAATATGCAAAACCGAAATCACGAGGAACATAACTAATTAAGAAGAAATGTTTGTAATTTATAGCGTACAATTATTATGCTTGTACAGGTATAGTAAACCACAAATAGTATCATCGTGGCTGGTGTACCAAATCCATAATATTTATGGACGTCTTCTATGATGGCGGTAATGACAGCGTGTTCGCATCCGATACAGCAACTCTTTGTGCACCCGAGCCATGGTGATGCAGAGTATCCAAGTAATATCGACCGATCAAACGTTAACAGATGATTTTTTGTGCGAAATCTAGTAATATAAACCAAACGAATAGTTCAGGGTTCCGGACAGTTATAACGCGAATTATCATGTGTACTTATTGCGCAGCTGTTCCACATACTTTAAAAACGTCAAATTTATATTGGTATTCGTTGAAGAATAGTTGTGGCATCGGAGCACATAATAACATCTTTTAATTCTTTCTGATATAATAAAAATTGCTTTCATATTTCAACCCTAGGCTTGTGATAATATAAATAGAAATTTATCATCAATGTTTTCTATTGGCGTTCTCATTCTATTCATGCTCTCGTTCGAAGAGTCGAGTGTAAGAATTGTGCTAACACGAAGATTTCATTTTCAATGAGTATTAACTCATTCAATGCCTTCTTAATTTTCAAATCATCCCAACCGAAGCTAAGTGTTAAGTCATTGGCTTGGGTGTGCAGTAAATGTTATTCCACGAATCCCAATTCGATCTTATATGGGCCTTGCGTTCAGCATCTATATACTGTATTCCTCAACGTTTCATTAATTGATCAGGATGGAAATATTTATGGCGTTAATAAAATTCGTTACTCCAATTAGAAAGGCTATCATGTTAATGCGAAGCGACACGTTTCGATCATCTAATAGCTTGGGCGTTTCATCCTCAGCAAGTGAAGAAGTAGAACTGGAAGCTTAATGTTTTTAGATATAACAAGGAAATCCGCACCGCGTATCTCTCGACTATTTAGATAAAACACAATAAAATATCATAAAAAGTCAACAGCGCCCACGATAAGTATGCTGATTTCCATCCGAAACTCGCATCAAAGAAGAGAAGGTTTAATTGATAACACCAAGTTGGTAGCACCATACAAATAAAGCATATTACTCCTTAAAATATTAAACTGCTTTTGTTATTTTTCCATTTTTGGGCTCATATATTAGTAATTTGACTATTTTGCTTTGTTTCCAGACAATATTGTTTTTAACAGATAATATGGAGAATGCTCCCTGTGTTACTGTAAACTTCGGAGATATAATCCGAATCTTACCAAAAATAGATAATAATTATTATGGTATGGGAATTTCACTTGAAAAAAAATGTAAATGTTGTGTTGTATTACTAATTCCATTCCTTATTCAACCGCTAGAAATCTTACAAGGATTTCCGTTCACAAAAGCTTCCATTTCTTACCATAGCGATTCTAGTTACACTTCACGACAATGAGTAGTAATACCTTGTTAACCTTAAAAATAAGTGAATATCCGATAATGGTTTGATGTGTAAAATTCCTACAATAAACTAAGGATACATAACTCAGCATTGCCCCAATAAAATGATAATCATTGATCACAAATCTTGTAATCTGGATGAAGGCATAAATGGTAGAGTGCATGATATCTAGGATCGTTTGGCTACCTAATGAAGTTTATTTAACTTAAGACAAAGGATTGTAATTAATAGATTGTAACTTGAATAAACACAATCTACATCTCTAATGGCTCATACAGAACAACAACCCAAATAATCTATTAAATAGTGAGTTCGATATACATGAATGTTTCGTGTACAAAAAAAATGGTGTAATCCATTGCAACCTCAAATAATATCACTGTTAAGTACAGTATTACTGTATGTAACACAGTGTTATGTGTACTGTATCAGCCATCTTGGGCTCAGTGATCATTGTATTACACTTATATTTCACACGAATAATAAAATATGTGTGTATACAGTACGCAAGCGCGTGATGACCAAAAATTTCCTTTTTGGATTAGATCGAGCGGGTTTTAAAGCTCCATTATTTAGGCACCGAATTTTCTTTTTATGTACACACGATGATGATATGCGCGTGAAACATACGAACCAAATCCGAGTTGGATTCACGGGTAGGAATATGAATTAGGTTTTTTTGGTGCATTCGTCGTTGGAATTTTCTGGGCAAAAACTTGTGGTTTGAAAGGTTCTTGTGTCGCATTATCCAACAAATACGAATGAATTCACACCTCTGATAATAAACTTTATTGTTTTTTTACAGTAACTTGTGCGTATTTAGAGTATGGATAAATCCGATATACTGTATCATTCATTTTTCATATTGCCGGGATCGCTAGATGCATTTTCGTTGTTCTTCATGCATCGATCCATGGATCGACAGTTATCGATTCTGAATGGTCGACCCTTTCCACGTTAAGAAACACCACCGACACAAGTAGATTGATGAGAAAATTGTATACTAGCGAACTACCTGACCTTATTTATAATGACAAAGATCCTTCATTATAATGTTTACTCATATAATCTGTAGGTTTTATATTCGATTTATAAATTATTAAAGACGATCTGTCCTAGTTAAACATTCGCAGAGCAAGTCCTCTTGCACATTGTTTAGTAACGTCAGATGAATCTTCTATTGTTAAATTTCATTATTCTCGGATGAAGACTGGCCTTAAATAACAGGCCCTGCATCGTTAATTATTTCAGAACTTTGTAAGCGTTCCATCAACTGTTGATATTTGTGATACCGTAGCTAGATCAAATATAATTTACCGGTTTTCGCTATAGTGGATCAAATACCTCCGTAAAGGCAAAATTATGTGTTTTTCACAAAAAAAAAAAAGATTTTTATTCGAAAAGCTGCTGCAAGTAAAAAGTATAGAGGATTGAATAATAAAAGCCTCTATCATGCAGACAATAAAACGAACGCATATATTATTTTTGAAAGCGAACAGGATTTTTTTCGATTCTATAATTGTGGTCTAAAATTTTTATCTTTTACCCAATATGCAGCAGCATCATCATATTTCTCACGAATTGTGTAAGAGACTGACTTACATGTTGCAACTTTATGATCATAAAGACTATTCTCTTCGTCTTAATATATACTATTTTTTTTTGCAATAAACTTGAATGCAATAGTTTTCCTTTCAGTCCCTACGAGAATTCTTACTAGATCGTTTGAATTTATACGCGCAAGTACACCTACTTTTTGAAATCTTTTTCACCAGTGAATTCGAGTCCATCTACCATGTCATCGTCCCACCGTATCGATTATGATTGGTTATCATGTTGGATCATCTCAATATACTATTGTTAATGTACCAGCTTACAGTGTGTTTATCCAAAAATAGACGGGACAGTGTATGAATTCTGTTAAACGATGCATTCTTGGACAATGGCGTTATTAATAAGGGTCTTAAGGTCGTCTCTCTATATTTACTGGTTAAAATTTTGCACGTGATCTTAATGGTACAAAGTCTTCACTTAGAAAATATTCACAGTTTTTCTTTAAGTAAAAAATCATCCTTTATTATTTTATATAAGTTGTAAATAGATAGTAACAAAAATAATGTTAAAAAAAAAAAAGAATTCGTCCAAATCATTGTCAACTAAAATCGATCTAAGTCGCGAATGTGTATCCTTGGTGGACCATCACAGTAATGTACCAACTACAAAAAACATTTAATTAAAAAATTGTCCAATAAGTGCCAACATACGTTTAATGTCAGAGTTTTGAGTAGGATGTGAATGTTTCTCGGAAAAAGATGTTGATTCATTAACTATTGATTTTTGTGATGGCATATTTGATGGAGGGGAGGGTGAATCTGGACGTTGATCTTCCCGAGAAAAAGGCATGTTCGTTAAAGGACATTGATCGCCCCAAGAAAGAGGGTCTGATCCATCGATTGTTGATGTTTGCGACAGCGCATTAGTTAGGAGTGAGGACGAATCTGAATGTCGTCCTTCTTGAGAATGAGGGGTTGACTCATCAACCGTTGACACCGGTGATGACATTTTTGTTCGAGGGTGGAATGAATCTTGACGTTGACCTTCCCAGGAAAGGGAGGTTTGTTCAATTGTTGACGTTTGTGATAGCATGTTCGTTAGAGGGGAGGAGAAATCTGGACGTTGGTCTTCTCGTGGAGTTGGTTCATTAATTGTAAACATTTGTGGTGGTGATGGATTTTCTGTTATAGAAGAAACACTTTGATGAATATGAATATGAATATGAATATGTTGAGCTCCACTAAAATTAAAAGAAATATTCGGTAGATGTTGTTCTAGATTCATTTTGAATATTTATTGCTTGTAAAATTACAGAAGTTCCTTCACCCTTTTATATCATTTTCGTCCGAAGATCCGCAAATATATTTCCTACTCTAAATTTAAGCATGAACTAATAAGTCATATGATCACCCTTTAAATGTTTGTTCGCGCTCATTCTGTTCCATATACAGTATAATATGGTGCCGGAAATCTATAAGCGTCAATCATGTGATTAACAAACCGGGAATCTTTAAAATGCTAAAACTTTTTACACGGACAATATTTCAAAAAAAACAGATCGATAACTTTGTAGTGCTTATTATAAAGAACAAAGTTATCGGTCAGTTTTTTGAAATGACACCTGTGTAAAAAGTTTTAGTGTTTTAAAGTTTATATGTTTTTCGAAATTGAAACAAATCATGTGAGGATTTACAGAATTTGATTGGCTGATATCAAATTAAAATCGAGAATTACGGCTCTTAATTAACCAAATAAAGTCCGGATACAGTCAACATACCGCAAGTTAAATGTTATTACGTTAAAATTTTAAAGCATATACTTAACGTTAATATTTATTTTAATATTTAATCCCAAAATGTAAACTCTTTAGTAAATATCAAATATTTATATTTTAATGGTCAACGATAACAGAACTGGATCATGAAACATTTGTTTGAAAATAATGATGTATCTATTGAATTTTGAAATTCTTGTTGGTCTTTCGCTAGCTTCTGAGACCTTGGTA